AAAAAAGGAGCGATTTGATCCTGCGCAACCTCTCTCTTTAGAGGGAGTTTCCCAAATGGATTCTATTCCACCTGGTAGGCTCCTAGCACTCGTCCGTCCAGGAAACGACCTCGTCCTGCGAAGGATTCGAAACCGCGCAGGCGGCTGCAACATAACGACCCCGAGATATGCGCCGCAATTTGGCTCCAGGTTGCATTTCAAGCGATGTCAAGCTTTGCCAAAGGAAACCCCTTTTCCCTTTTTTTCTGGGACCCCTTTTTTGGAACCCCTTTTTTCTTTCTTTTTTGTTTTTTCTTGCCCTGCAAAGGTTGGCTTGCTTGAAATGCAACCTGGAGCCAAATTGCAAGCATATCTCGGGGTCGTTATGTTGCAGCCACACGCCTGCACGCAGCGTTTTAGGTTTCGAATCCTTCGCAGGACAAGGTCGTTTCCTGGACTAGGAGCCTACCAGGTGGAATGGAATGCTTTTCTTTCGAGACACTAGTTTAGTTAGACCCTGCAGAAACCTTGGACTCGGAGAGACATGAATGGGAGGACCCTAGGACCACTTTTTTGAGTCACACTTGAGTCGCGTTTGGCGGCTCTCCGGCCACTTCTACTAGGCTGCAAAAAGCTGCCTTAGACGGCTTCTGGCAGCTCCACTCTGGCTGGTTGTTACGCAGCCGTACCAACCCGTGCTCGCATTCCTGACTGCTTCCCGTATGGTCTCTGTATGGTCAAAAGCTTCCAAATTGCATTGTCGAGGCTTCCCGTATGGTTCCTGTATGGTTAAAAAGCTTCGAAATTCCTGACTGCTTCCCATATGGTCCCTGTATGGTCAAAAGCTTGCAAATTGCATTCCTGTATGGTCAAAAGCTTCCAAACTGCATTTATCCCGTATGGTATGGTCAAAAGCTTCGAAATGGCACTCTCGACGCTTCTCGACTGCTTTCCGTATGGTCTATGTATGGTCAAAAGCTTCCCAATGAGCATTTCCAAGGCTTCCCGCATGGTTCCCGTATGGTCCGAAGCTTCTAAAATTGCACTAAGGCCAATGGATTTGTCAGCTTTGTCAGCTTGCCTGTCGGCTTGCCTCGTCGTGTCGGCTGATTTGCTTGCCGCGCGCTTGCGGAGTCTCTGCCGTGCCTCTGCGGCAGCCGTTTTTTTGCAGCCTTTCACAGCGTCCGCGATTTCGCGCAAATTCGCCATTTTCCGGTCGTGTTCTGTCAGCTTTGGTCGTGGTCGTGTTCTGTCAGCTTTGGTCGTGTTCTGTTCTGTCAGCTTCCGGTAGTCTGTCAGCTTCTTCTGTCAGTTTTGGTCGTTTTCTGTCAGCTTCCGGTCGCGTTCTGTCAGCTTCGGTCGTTTTTTTCTGTGATAGCTTGCGGTCGTGTTCTAGAGTGTGCCGTCGCGTGCTTCACAGTCACATCTTCATTTTTTTTTTAAAAAAATGGGTGGCCGGAGCTGTGCGCTGCAGCACGGCGGCTGTTGACGCGGCTACGTCAGCCGCAGAGGAAGGGGGAGAAGAAGGCTCCGCAAGCAGCGCGGCAGCGCCCCACAGCGACTGGTAGGATGAGCTTTGCCTAGGATAAGGTATATATTGATATGTCTTATAATGGTTATTTTTAACATTTTCACAATATATTAATTTTTGTGTAATGTAGTTAGTCGGTATGCATTAACAATTCAAATTTTAAGATGATTTATACTTATACAAAATTGGTTTTTAGATAGATGATGAGGTATATTATACATTTATGCATAAAAAAATATATTTATATCTAAAAACGGTTGAGTGTTGCAAAATAAACCCTATAATTCATTTATATTATGTATTCTATATATTAAAACAAAGGTTAAAAGCAAAACACATGGGGTGTGTTTATTTTGATACATTTTTCTTTTGCTTAAGATTATCCTTTTTCATCCTATAGAAAAAAGAGCATAAATAGTTAGACAAAAAACTCAATTAGCCAAACACACCCTTTAACCCCAAACTTCTTTAGAATTTCAGGGCTTAAAACTCTGGAATTCTAAAGTTTTATCCTTGAAAATAAACGGTTTGGTGTTTTTCGTTGTTAGAAGTTCGGTTTGGCCGCTACTAAATTTTTATTTTGATTTAATGATGATAAAATCTGGCCTTAATAAAACGGTTATTGGGCCGGCTTTTGCTTTTTATGGCTTAACCGACAATTGATAAATTGATTATATGAAAATTATGGAATTTATAGTCCGTTTGATAGCATTTCAGCCCTTGAAAAAAGGCAATCGGGCCGTTTTTTGCTAAAAGAAGCTCGACTTGGCCGTTGCTACTCTCTTTACATAGTTTTTTGCAATTTAGCTGCCTTGATAAGACGCTGGCTTTACAGTAATTGAGCCGGCTTTTGCTTTTCATGACTTGGCCGGCTAATTAAAAAATAAAAACGTTGTATTTTCCGGATTGTTGTCGGGGAAGTCCGAACAGATTTGGGTTTGCGATCCATGGGTTTTGGGGTAGGCGAATTCACCACATATTTTAGAACCTATTTTAGTGGTTGGATTGAATCGGTCCCGTTCATTTCGGGCTAACCGATATGGACAGATCTTGTAGGCAGAACAGCGGAAGAATCCACATACTCAATGGCACCGGGGCTCTGACAAAGTGACTCACTTTTAGTGAGTTTGATACGGAAAGCCCCAAACAATTGAAGCGGTTGTGTTTTCTAGGGATAGCCCGGACCAATTTGTCGAAATATTCGGGATTTTTCGGAAAAACGATCCGGGAAAGAGCGTCCACAAAAACACGATCTAACCAAGGCATCAATATTTTTTTGCAACTCAGACACCAACATATTTTAACTTATTATATTTATCAAACAAAATATATTCTTCGCATACGAGAAGTACCACATTTTCCAAGCCCAAGTCGTAAGATATGTTAAGGCCGGACTAGTCACGCCAAAGAATCAGTAAAAGGCAGTAGGGGTAAATTAAGATAGGTGCCACAAAAGGAAATCAATTATACAGAAAAAATTCTAACATATCCCAACCCATAAAAAACAACTCACAAACCGAGACCAGAGCGTCCACAAAAACACGATCTCATAAAATTTCATATACTCCTTCCAAAATATCGTGTGAGTCGAGCGTTCAAGAGCCAAAATTTAGACCGTAATAACAAAACCAAAAATAGAGCAAATATTACAAAATCCATGTCGACAACACATTTTTTGTAATTCAAACACCAACATATCTTATTATATTATATATATCAAAAAAATATATTTTATATACGAAAAAACTATTTTCCAAATATAAACCGCAAAATACACTAAGGTTCGGGCTAATCGCAATAAATTCATGCCAAAGAATTAATAAAAAAACAATCGCTTAAAGAAAATAAAAACAAATCCATAAATTATTAATCTCAAAATATCCATTTATCTGTATAAAATAATTCTTATAAATATAAACGAAAATACAATCGACCAAAAATAATAATTTAATAATTTAATTTTATAACAATCAATCATAAATATTTACCCCACTCTTTATAAACAAATTTCCTAAATTCATTCTATAAAATATATAAATCTCATAATAAAACATAAACTGCTCCTAACTTAAATATATATTTCATATGTTTATAAAAAACAAATATCTCATATTAAACTATTTATATATTTTTTTAAAACATCATTATATATATATTTCAATTAATAGAAAAATATTTATTCAAATAACTATTTATCCTTTAAAAACCGAATTTAATTACACATATTTTTAAATACAAAACTAACATATTTCAAGTTATTTAACTTATAATTATATCTAAACATATATAAAACTATATATATCTATATTTATAATATATATTTTAATTACCTCCTTATATTTTCCAATTTATTTATTATAATATATACAGATATATAATTCTAAATATTTATATATTATTGTTTGCATAAATGAAAATATTTATATTGTATCATTATATATAAAAAATGTAAATTTCTATTTGTGTTTGTGTCTGTATCTATGTCTAAATATCTATCTCTCTCTTTCTCTTTCTTGTAAGAATGCTTGAGGCGCGGGTGAACGAAAGCTAGCAGTTGTTGCATGAGATGGGTCGGTGACAGAGTGGATTCATGGGTAGCTTGTGTACAACGAGAGGCCCGGCAAGATTCGTGGGATGCGACACGCAAACGCACATGGTGGCGTGGCAAACCTTGAAAAATGAAAACAACGAGAGGCGTCAGAAGCTGTCTTAAAGCACCTCTGGGTTCTGCATGCTGCGTGTGCAAAGATTCTTGCGAGGTGGTTTACTGAGAAGACTGGTCTCAAATGAACAAGCTGAATCGGTGGAACATGTAAAAGTTCGTAGCACCAAGTCCAAAACGGGCAAACCGAGACTGCTGAACACTGAGCCACTGCCCGGGGGGGGGGGATGGACCAGGGAGGAATCGAGCCTGAGACCCGGGGGGGGGGGAGGGGGGGGGGGTCTAAATAATTGATGTGTTTCAATCTTTTCGGCTCAAATAATTGAAAAAATCAATCTTTCGGCATTTGAGCCCCTTACCTTGCTTACGCAAGGAGAAACTTCAGCCAGCTAAAGCTAGCTTTCGTGATTTTTCTGGTAGGGTGGAGTCGAAGCAGAAAAGCCAAAGCCAGGAAGAAACAACTGACCGAATGACCAATATAGCCAAGGAAAACCCAAAAACAACCACTATCTTCAATTGTTTTAAAGGCTCCAGGCTCAACAACGTACTGCCCAACGTCCCTCCTTAAGAATTGTCAAAATGAAGCCGATGCATTGCGTCATTTCGCAAGATCTTTGGCAACGCTGGTCGGGCATCTAGTGACACAGCGGCGGCTAAATGAGCACAACCAGTGAAGTGAGACCGTGGTCGGGAAAGCTTTGCAAACCTCTGAGCGCTGAAGCTACAAGCTGGGCAGAAAATATGCAGGGCTGTGTCTGTCAGAGTGGCAATGAGTGCGTGTGTGCGTGCGTTCGTCACTGGGTGGCACATAGCTTAGAACAACCCATCCCTGTGCAAAAAGAGCGCTCACTGCAAAAAGGGTCGCGTGATGCAAAGAACTTGCTCTTGACAAGGCATCCGGCCGATCTGCATCAGCAGAAGGATGCAAATACTAGGCTGCTATCCAAGTTGTAGCCCCCACTTTTGGTGGCATGGCGTTTACGCTCAGCGTTTCAGCGGTTGCGTCACGTCTTATTGAAGCACACCTTGGACAAAGCTGTATCAATGCACTTCATCAAATGTACGCCAGAATCAGCCGCGCAACCATTCCAAGAAAGAACTGGGCCAGTCGCTTGACGGGGCACCCATGGCGGCAGCTTCTTGGAGCGAAAGATTGCCCCACCTGTTCAGCTGCACTCAATACATTTCCTGACTTTCCCAGACTCAACCATTGGAGTAGGTTGCCCACCGCCAGCTTCTTGCCATTTGCGCAATACTATGTTGCAATAGGACTCCTCATCCCAGTAGTGGGCATACCTGACAGCTGACGTTTGACAAGTAGTCACACCTAGCGCCCGGCCTTGCGGCATGAGGGCAAGGGAAGGCCCGCATAAGCCCACCAGACCGCATGTCCTGAAGGAAGAGTTTGTCTGCAGCTTTGCGCTGTGGAGCTGGTCCTCTTCGTGAGCTACAACGCAAAGTTCCCATGCCTCTGCAGCTGAACATGTCAGTCAAGCCATCCTGCTTACGCGGCAAACGGCTAAGGCAAAGGCGATGTCGTCAAACAAGGACAATGCGTCTGCTGGGCCTCCGCATCTCTTTTGTCCAAAGCTTTTTGGACAACTGCTGTCTGAGACCGGCGCTCTCGCAGGATGCCTTTCTCAAGCCCGCATCAATCAACACACCGCCGCAAAGCCCTTTCTGAAATATATATAGATATATATATATATACACATGTTTGTAGAGACATGGAGAAATAGATAGATATGGATCTGGATTTGGATTTGGATATATACCTGGACCAGGATTCTGTCACGCCTGTACTTGCCCACCATGCCAAGGAACCTTTGAACCCAATCAGCTTGCCGTACTCAAGCGTGAGCCAACAAAGCTGAGGCCCTGGCTATTCTTCGAGCGCGCTTCGCCATTTCTTCTTCTGAAAGAAGACAACCTGCAGCTGCGCCCGCCTTCCCCTTTCCCCACGCAACCTTGAGGGAACGCAACCACACCTCTCTCCCACACATGTGTACACACACACACGAACATATATGATTCTGAGCTAAGCAATGTAAGCAGCAGCACACATCAACCCGCATAAACTAAATATTAAGACAATGCTAGCCAAACAAACAGCATTGAGGCCAAGGCAAAAGCAAGCAACATTTGAAGAGCTATGGAGTCGACACGCTTGCCTGACGCTGCCTCATTCTCATCCATGATTGGCAAGCTGCCCTGAGCGCGCTGCAGCTTTGAATCCACGAGCGGCAAAGGCACTTGAGCAAGCCGCTGTGACGGGCCAATGCACAGAGTCTGGGCCTAGGCGGCAAGCAAACGCACCTGAAAATGAGCTGAACACTTGCATGACATACTCTGAAGCCAACGAATGGATACGGGTTGCCCCATGTTGCCCTGTCACCCGCCGAGAGGCTGAGCTGCCACAATGCGGTTGGCGGATGGACCTGGCTGTCTAGTGTGCCAGGCGGTGGCGAACAGCTCTCAGTGCCGGACTCCGACAAGAGTAAGGACCTCAAAGCTAGGCTCTGCACAAATGCAAATGCATATGCACGTGTATGTACATAATTGCACATACAAATCTTTACACGGTATGGCATGGTGCACCTGCTCAGGAAACCGAGAGCCCAGCATCGGCAACCAGTTTGGTTTTGATCCTCTTGTCCAGCGGCGATCCAGAAGACAAGGATGGGCCTGAACAAAAAGTCCAAGCTGGCCACATGCAAACATGCGTCGCCAAGGCAGCTGCAAATATTCACTTCCAGCAGCCACGGTTTCAAGGTCTCATCCACCTTGTGCCGAGCAAAACGCCAGTGGAACACACACACACACAACCACATGCATGAGCCACCGAGGTCTCGCGCTAGAATGTCGAAGCCATAAATTTCATAGCAACTTGACCGTTGGGCGCCTAGCATTGATAGCGCATGGAGCGGCAATTGAACTGGCTGCTTAGATTGGTAGCCCCTCGTGGCGAATCAAGCTTTCAAGTTGGGGGCATGATTGCTGTCCCCAGCCTCCAGGCCCGCGCGCTGACCAACCTCCATCCTAACAAGTTTTCGACAGAGACCTACCATGGCGTAGCCGGCGCCTTGCCTCACATCCCAGCGTTTTGCACCACTCAGCCTGCATGCAGCTTGCCCCCGTGCCCTGCAACTGGTGACCTAGCAAGCCTTCAAGGGCTCCTCCACTGAGATGAGAGTCTTGATGACCAAGTCCTGCCCACTGCACAGGACACCTTCTACTGATTGGATATCCAACTCTCGCGACTCCATTGCCTTCATTGACTCCCACATTGCCTACGCCACGAATGCGAGAAAGCTCCGAACAACATGTTGCGAACTCTGAGGGCAATGCGCCAAAGTTCAAGCCCTCCCGTTCAAAGTGGATCCTGAAGGCACGAGCATCAAACAAGCAAGGCAGCGACAAGCTAAGGTCGGGACTTCAGCTCAGTCAGCGACCTCAACAAACTGCACTAATCAATGAAGGTGTGCACCGACGTGTCACGCAACAGGGCGTACGCTGCTACCCTGCACAAGCATCAAGCTGGCTCTCATGCGCTCACACGCTCGCATTCTCTTACGCTGCCGCCCTGACTCACACAAACACACTGCTTGTGTTGTTTGCGCTCGCCACGTGCGTTTCTTCGCGGATACGCTCCTCCTGTAAATTGCGAAGCCTGTGAAAAACACAAATCGGTGTCGGCAGTGGAAATAGTGCGAAAACTGCAAGTAGTGTCAATGGCGTGGGCGGTGTGAACCAACAAACATAGCTAACAACGCAAGCGGTGTAGACGATCATGCCAGCGAGGCAGCTATGAAGGTATGTCTGCACTTGCAGGTGGTCGGACACCAGGATATAAATTCCAACAACTGAAGCATCCATGAAAGCAAGCACTGAGCAAATGTGCGGGCGGTGACTGGGGCACAAACCCTAAACCCTAAACCCTACACATAATTACAGGCGATCAGCCTGCCAACTTTGCACGCAAAGGTACAACACCCAGAGTACATTTACATTTACAGGCGTTCACTGGGTACAAAATCGGCCAAGAGAGTGCAGGATACCAACTTACTAACAGCCCTCTGGGGTTGGGCGTGAGCCTATTGCGGAGCTTGTGGCGCCACTCCTCGTGTAAGTAAACGGTGCAGGCAGCGTCGGGAAGTGCAAGATGGTGTGGGCAGCGCTTCAACTCTCTATTGCAGGGCGCGTGGACCAAAACAGTCAACACTACTAGCGCTCGCCAAGAAGCGACGCGATAGCTCACATGGAAGACTGCCTTGTGAATGTCTGCGGTGCGTTCGCACTCGTTCCTGAGGAGGCATCCATTTTGAAGCCTTTGGCTGGCCGGCTTCATCAATGGCTGCGTCCTCCTTGTCCTGCCATGTGAAAGCTTCGCAAGTTGGCAAATCGTTGGTGTCCTCTGCGCCCTGCCCATCCAGGTTTTGAACAAAGGCTGGGCTCCTTCGGCCCAAGCTTGGGAATCAGCTGAATTGCCACAAGACTTAGCTGCCAACTGCTTGTTCACGGAATAGTTCGTGAGGTGCATCATCCTGCCCAGAAAGGCTCGTCGCAGGCACGCCCTCATTTGATCATGCAACAAGAGCCCGATCCTGGACTGCAATGTGTCCACTGAATCTGAGTAGGGTTCAGTTGCGAATCGCACTAGGCCCTCATCGTTCACATACACCTTCAGCGGATCATACCTGGGAGCATCACGGGTCCAAAAATAAGCTTGTAACATGTCAAAACACTGCATGAGCAGATTGGTTGTCATGGGCTCATACGAGACGACGACCACGTAAACCCGCATGTCAAACCTCAAATTTGCCACTGCCATCCATCAACTTTTGGTATGCACCTGCAAGGGTCCAAGGTACTAACTTGCGGCCCCCAATGAGAAGCGGGTTCGGAATGTACCGCTGAACAATGCCACGCCTCAGTCGCAAAATCTTTTCTCAGTTGATTGGCTGAACCGACCTGAGTCATAAATTGAAGCTGCGCAAAATGCCATGTAGCAAGCAAATCACAGGTATGGGCTTCTTGGATAGTTCCCGCAGCTGGTCCTGCGCAACTGAAACTTCCAAGATAGGCATGGACCTGGGCGTGCTTGCGCGCGCATCCGGTAGGTCGGTTAGATGCGCCAGCGCATTAAAAATGGATCCTTGCGACCGCTGATGTCGGCCATGGAAAGGGGCGGGGGGTCTCGGTGAGCGTCGCTCCCGTTGGGGCGCTGCCGAGGGGCAGTGTGAATTGAATGCGCTAAACTGCCCAACAGTTGTCAAACATATTTGCCGACCACAGCATGCACGCAAAGAATGACACTACTTTTCCAGAATCTGAAGACAGTGGGCACGGGAGTGCAACAATTTGTCCACCCCCCCTGAGGCTGTAAGTGGGTCCCAAGGATCCCCAGAAGACACCTCGTAGGTTCCTGTATTGGATCTACTTTGATGCAGAAGGTAAATATGTATGGAAGAAGCAAATGACCAATTGTATTGTAAGCAATGTTTGGTTCCAATAGGAACAAGTGTAAACTGTACCACGGTCAGCCAAGCGGGCTTCTTCCTCTATGAGCTGGAGATGCAAAAGCTACCAGGCCTCAAGCCAGATATTTCAATCAGATTGCTGCGTGAGTGGATGCTGTGACACAAGCACAGAACAAAACAAGAAACAACACAGGCACAAATTTCTTTCCACTCATGGCATCCCAAATTCAAAGAATACTGCCATTGAGCGATTTAATTACTCGGCTCTTGGGCCTGAAATTCACGGAGTTGTGCAGTAGTAGCACGTTGCATCCTGTACCGTAGCCCTTAAATTGTGAATCTTGTGATATGTGCACGGCATATGTAGAAAATACATAGAATGACAGTACCAAAAATCATGGTGAGAAATTCCGGCAAGATGGAGCGAATAAATATTGAAATGTCAAATGGCATTGTGATGACATTGCTGCACCAGTTGGGTGTGGGGTACTCCTCAGCTGGAATATGCACGTTCCTTCTCTCTTTTCCGTTTCAACGCTGCCTCGGAGATGTTGCTGTTCGAGGAGCGGATGGTGCCAATCTGAATCACTTGACCCAACCAGGGGCTGATCATTGGTCAGGAGTTTGTATCTTTCGCCTGAGTCCACTTTGTAATCAGGGAATATGTTCCCCAGTGGATGATTCTCATCTGGTTTGAGATTGTCCGTTACGTTCCCTTCTCGAAGATCTCTCATTCGGTTCGTCTTGGCCCAATGGAGAGCATGGGTTACCAAGCAGTCTAGGGCTCTGTGGAATCCATCATGTTCCAGTCTGGCTGTAGTGCCATAGTTCAATGAAGATTCGAGGCTGCACACTCGGAACTGATTCGAAGCTGGTTCCACGGTTCCTTCTGGGCCTCATTGAAGCATTTCACGATTCCTTTTGTTGCGCGCTGAGGTCGGAGCAGGTGATTCAATCCCCGATTTACGAATCGGCCCATGTTCCCAATGACTGCGTTATACGGCTTTGTCGCATTGCATTCGTAATAGTATACTCCCGCCGTTAGGAACGGTAGCCCGGCACGATGCACATGGGTTCTGTAGAATTCACCCTTTGTCTTGTCAGTTGAGACTGCATCGGGTGTATATTGATCCATGCCGCCCTCCAGGCGCAGGACCTTGGCATACTTGTACACTCTCAATTATTGATTTTGCTAGGAGGTTCCTGTTTTGGTTCATTGTTGGAGGTGCTGATGACGACATCGCGGAATATCTTGCCGACGGTCGGGCTCCTTCGAGCATGAGTTGCAGGAAGTGGTTCTCCCGCTCTGGGTCTATTCAACGTAACTTTGGAATCTTCTGAATCTGATAGAAGCCCATACAAAACTCTGAAAGTAAGTCAGCGCCTTGGTCAGAACATAGCGGCTGATAAGTTCAACCCTGGCTGTTGAATTCTTTCTGAATGCTGCGTGCTAACAGGCTCAAGGCTCGGCATACCGATTGGCGTTCGAGTTGGTTTGGACACCATGACGCCAGAAGGACGTCAGACGGTGTTGGACATTATTCGTGAGCAACAACCAGATGTTGTATGGCTTGCACCAGTTTGTGGACCCTGGTCCATTACGCAAAACATCAATGATCCGAAGATTGTTGCAGAAAAGAGAGCCGCGTACTTGACTTTGTAGCTGGTTCCAACAGAACCGAGGACTCTGCTTCATCATTGAGAATCCTCGCACTTCCAAGATAGGGACTCTTAAGTCCATCAATGGACTTGATGGAACATGCTAGGGTGACTTGGGATGACCTTGGTGTTTGTGCATTTGGTCTTCGTGACCCTGACACCAAACTTAGAAGTTTGAAACCAACAAGCCTCATGCAGAATCTTCCCAAAGAAGTCGTGAGACCAGTATGTGTGTAGAAGGTGCTCAAATTTGCTTAGCAAGGAAAAGAACCAGCATCAGCCTCTTGAAGGCAATGCCAAGAATCAGGGCAGTCGTACTAGACTTGCCCAGATTTACCCACTGTCATTCTGTCAAGAGATGACACATATTCTCCTCAGATTGCTAAAGCTCGAGGTTTTTCGTTTCGAAGATAGTTTTGAACATTTCTCTGACAGTGACATCTCCAACATCCGACCAGAGTTGGACAAGATCGATGCGGACTACAACATGACCAGCACCAGTACTCGCACGAAGGTTCAGGATCTACCGTTCAATAACCAGATGGACCCACTTTACAGTGACGACAAGGAAGTAACCAAGCTTCAACGAGCAATGAAGCAGCCCCAGCAAAAACAGCTTAATATTGAATGTTCTAATAAATCCGACTCACGGATTCTTGGCATTCATATTGACGCAAGAAGATTGCGGTATCTTTGTATACCCCACACACTGTACAACAACTGCATCATGTACAACCGCACCATCGGCGTCAACTCACCGTTGACGACGCTTGCGTGTTTTTGTGGCAAGTTAACGCGCCGGGCAAGCTTTGGGTTTTTGCCAGCACACAGATGTGACTGGAACGACGTGATCTGTTTCTCGAAGGTGTCGTCACCTGCCGTCAAAAAATCATCTACACGCAGGGACATGACATTGTGGACCTGTCTACCTTTGGCATTATTGCCAGAGACTTCTATGAGATAGTCAATGGCTCCTTCCAAGTTGAAACCATTGGCCCCAAGATTTGACTTGGTGATCTTTTTGCCAAGTAAACGAAGGTGCAGCGATCCATACGAGTGGGCACAAGGCCATAAGACCTTGGCGCTGAACCAAGAATGTTCTCATTGCATCATTGTGTCCGTAAGCAGGTTTCTTTGCTGTGGAGGCCTTGAGGAACTCCTGTCTCTCAGTATGCAGCGTGAGCATCGCTCGGTCATCATCGTTGAAGCCATGGCACACTGAGTCGATGTCGTACTTGTTGTGTTGTCATGTGTGCGCGAAGAACGAGATGTTGCTATAGACCTCAGTGACTCAGCGGAATGCAGTGTGTGGAGACTAATAGGTCTACCAGTGTTGCTGCACACCTTCTGATCATGAGTGAACTGTATCCAGAGTGCTTCATCTAGTACCAGGTCTGAATCTTTGTCGGTGTAACGACGGGTTCTTTGAGAATGAGAGCTTTCCGGTTCTTCCTCAAGTTCCTCAGAGGATTCTTCTGGTTTTTCCGGTGAAGGCGGAATGCCTGGTGAAGAACTTGGTCCTGGTGAGGCGATCGGTTTGGCTTCTCGTGGGCTGTCTTTTTCTTGGTTGATGTACCTGCTTCTTGCATTTTATCGTCGTCGTCTGCAGGCACAAGTGGAAGTGAAGGTTGTTTTTGTTTCGGTGGAGGCACGATAAATGTCGGCCGATTAGGAGGCTTTGGAACATCACCCCTCAGCCGATCGCGTCGTCAAGGAATAGCCGGCTGGGCGGTTGTCACGGTTGTGGAACTGGTGCATTTGTGCGCACTTTCTGGACGCCAGGTGTTTGCTGTGTGGCTGGCGTTGCCTGCGGCGTTGGCGCATTGGGTGGCTGACTATGAAAGTCATAAGATCACGCCAAAGTTGCACGGACTGATGCGATGTTTCGTCATGTGTCTTTTCATTCGAGGACTTTGGTCACACATATCTGGCGAACTTGCAGATGCTCAAATTCGCACCGATGCAAACAACTTAGTAGGCACTGCATCAACAACCCGTCAACCTGAGCAGAAAGAAGCCATGCACCTTATCCAAATGATCCGTCAGGAGAGTAATAGTGGTCAGATGCATGATCTCGCCCATGTACGTTCAGAAAACTGTCTCGCAGATTGTTTGAGGAAGAGCTCTGCCAAGGCCGGCGAGCTCATCAAATTCATCATGACAGGTATTCTTCGACACGCATCCAGCTTTCAGGACAATGATTCGGAACAAGGCGTTTTTTGGTTGAATGGTTGGCCTACAATACTCATATTGGTCCTTGCGTTTGCACCTTCCTAGAAGAAAATATTTCATATGAGGTACACCGTTTCTGGCATTCACAGAGGCGGATCTCCATCGAGGATCCCGCTGAGGAACCATGAGCCGATTTTATTTCTTTGCAATTGTAGGAAACTTGTCAGAACCGTTGACTCATTTGTGTCTGCTCCCGCAGCCCCTTTAGTTTCAAGTGAGCTTGGCCCTTGTGTGTTAAGGGCACAGTTTGTCAGACCTCCAGATCCTGCTCCTCAGGTGGAAACAGTAAAGCTGGAAGTGGAGAAGTCCGCCGTCGATGAGGACGAAGAGATGGTTAATTCAGAAGAGAAAGCAGCTTCTGCTAAGAAGCCAAAGGCTGAACATTGTGAAGATCCTATTCAACTGATAGAAAGAGAATCCGATTTCGAAGAGGACGAACCAGAAAGAAGTTCATGGATGAATGAAGAATCCGATGACAAGCCACCTACATTCAGAGATATTCTGCCAGAAGAAGAACCAGAAGAAGTTCCTCCGAATAACTTCCACGAGACCATCCTTTTGCGACATTTGCAGGTTGGTTCTACCAGAAGTGTCATTTCATAAATGACATCAGACCAAGATTTCAGTATCTTCCGCAGGACCAGCGTGACTACAACAACAAGAATGACAGTGCCCGTGGCTTGCAATTCTTCAGGGTCTGGAGCACGTCGGCGACAGGTGCGATGACCTGAAGGGAACATCGACCTGGCGTACGCAGATTACCAAGGCTATGTTGATCTTTCCCACATCGTAATGCGGTAGCATTGGTGGGGCTCCTCGAAACCAATGAGAAAACCAGGTGGGTAACTGCTCAGCTCCAGAACCATAACTGCAGTTCACACCAGAACCGAACAGCAAGCATATTCCCCTCCAAAAAAAGAAACAGAGAGAGAAAAAGAGAGAGAGAGAGAGAGAGAGAGAGAGATGGAAGTTTGACTGGGCACCGTTCGGAAGGGAATCCCGAAGATCCGTTCATACTGCGGCCTAAACGGATTGCTACTTATAGCCACTTATAGCATCCCTTTTCGACGTCTCCAAGAGCATACGCTGTATGCAATTACATACCGGGTGATCCTCCTGGACCACCGCCACGAGATTCCGAAAAGCGGATAAGAGACAGGAAAATTTGTAAAGGTTCGCACTTTCAGGACAAACGCAATGTGCAGAACGGGATTCTTGAGAAGAGGCACCAGAGATTTGGCAGAGAGATCCACCGAAGTCAAGTTCATCACAGAGAGCCCCAACAAGGCACCTCATCCCCCTAAAGAATGAATCAAGTAAATGGGATTTCACTCAAAGAGAAGCTCTGGAAGGCAAGCCGAAGAGCAAGCCTATGGCAAGATTTTCTCAGCCACAAAGAACCACTCCGGACCTCGTGCGCAACATCAAGACAGGTGACGGGAATTCAACGAGACAGATTTCCAGGCAAGCATATTTGCCCCCACGTTACCACCGCGGCTGGAATGACAGGAAGAAAAGAAGGGTAGAATCCGTAACCATTTCGTCGACGTGACAGCCTATATTGACAATGCACGCGCAAGCAACCTAACACGTAGACAGTTAAATGTCAGCGGAAACTGTGCGACGCTCGCGTTCAAGTGGTTGCACACTATGGCGAGCAAGCAAGAAAATACATTCGTGGCGAGTAAACTTCTCCCCCCTGCGCAGTTCCAGTTCATGAATGACCACGCTTTCTTGATGGGGTTCGTCGCAGTTGGCTGTGTCAGGCCATTACTGTTTGGCCCTGCGGCTCTCAAACAAAGCCGCAAGCCATTTGCAATAGTCTCAAGTGCCAAACAAGTCGTTGGCGCGTACGCCTGTCCAGGGAATCCTACGCGCAGGCTGCAAAGCTTTGAAAGTTTCTACCACGGTCCTCAGGCACGTCGGAACTGAACACCGTAATCCCCCTGCCACAGCTCTGGCCTTGGGTGAGCATGCAAGGAAAACACTCTCATTGCTATGTCTTCACAAAAAACTATTTTCATCAACTCTCCATAAAATCCAATCCCATGAGCCCGAGACTGCAGGGCTTCCAAATCCACAATGCCTCTGGCTGCCGCAGTCTTGCAGCATCCCAGGCCAAAAATGCCTTCCACATCATCCGGGGTTGGCTAATGAAAACGTTGCGCAATACGCAGGCCTTGGGTAGAATGTAGCCCTGTGGGGAAATCTGATACCTGCCAAAAAGGAATTCGCTCCATGATGCAAACATTGACATCGTGTGGAACCTCAAGCTTCTGAAGGTGTGGACCCACGCTTTTGGCCAGCGCTGTCAAGAGTTGGGGCACTCCTTGCCGAAGCGCTGCTGCATTTTGGCTAGGTTTCGCCAGATTAAGTCCTGCAGATCTCACGTTTTAGCGGCTAGCCCCCTCGCACAAATTGTTCATGAGCTGCCGCGCGGACCAAAATTTGTGTGCTTTGTCTTTGCTGGGCTTGCCCCTTATTTCACTGAAAAACACGTCTGCGAGCCAGTCCTTGCGACCCAAGTGGAACGAGCCAGGAAAATGATTTGCTCGCTGCACGGGACTGCAGGTCATATGGAATCGAAACACCAAAGCTATGACAGCAGAAAGGCTTTCAACAGCCCTGCGACCTATCCTAGCCTTCACCGATCGCGACGACAGCACAAATGCCAGACAATGTCTAAAGGTCGACATTGAGAACCACGCGTGAACCGGCGCAGTTGCTCGGGTGTTGGATGCAATGACCTTGTCGCGTCCAAAGCGAAGAGCACTCCAACAAGTATGACAAAGAAGCTACCAGGGGCACGACCACATGACTGTCCATCTATTTGTCTCTGCTCGAACCTCGCGCCCCAATGTGCCAGGCAAGTAAGGGTGAGCGCACAAAGCTTGCAAACCTCTTGCAAATAGGACGCCGGCCCGGTAAAGTCCCCCATGTCTCAGTATGTTGATGACTGCGTTGTACTGGTGCACGGCCTTTTGCAAACTCGCAACTGCTACTACATAACAATTCGGATATCTCGAGTTTGCAACATCTGTGTGGCTGTAGAACATGCGGGGCCCATCTTCGTCAGCTGGCACAGCGCGATCCATTGGGCGCCTTCGCTAGTACGAGTTTCGCAAGGCGCCCTGCGGGACAGCGAAGCTGAGGCGGGCACTGCTCAGCGCAGCAAGCTTGCGTGTAGCTAAAAAGAACAACCGGCCTGAGTTGCAACAAACCTTGCCCTAGGTTTAGAGATCAATGCAGCAATCAAGGCGCTAACAGCTGAGGCGGCGGCGGTCGACCCTCAAAGACTGATCGTAGCAAGACGATCTGCGCATTGTTGGAAAAGACACAGCAAGCGTGGCCAAAAGCCGCGCTGATGCAACAAACAAGCACACTGCGCCTTCCGAGGCTTTGGGCCACACTGCCTGGGCTGGCGTTCTGGCAATGTGTGTGGAGTGCTTGCAATGCTTTGCTGACTGAGTTTGCTGCACCTCTCCTTCATCGAATGGCTTGCCTGGACACAAGGCCAGACTCGGTGCCGCTAGCCCCTCGATTTAGCCTGCGCTACAGACTCAAACAGGGTTGGCCGAATTGGTCGACATCATGCAGTGTCTGCAATTCTCTCCTGGAAACATTCCCAGCAGAATTAAACTGACAGCTCCGCAGACTTTTCCACTCTTGACCGAAGCATGTGTCGTAACTCGCATTCTAGTGGGAGGTTTAGGGTTTAGGGTTTAGGGTTTAGGCCCCAATCCTTGAAGAATGAAACCTGCAAACCCTGACCTTCCAAGATCTGAGGCAGGGATACATTCCAAGGAGAATTAAAACTGACAGCTCTGCAGATTCTTCCACTCTCAACCGAAGCATGTGTCGCAACCCGCATTCCTGTGACATTTGCATTGGCATCCACAGCAGGTTGCTCCGTGCTGTGGCCCAGCAAAGCGTGCTCAGGTTATCCTGCAGTACCTCCCAAGGCACCCCACAATTTCAGCAAAAGTTATGACCGCGCGATAAGGAAGCCTCAATGGAGCAGGAGGAAAAAGGCTGTAGTACAGCTGGAAGTGGCTGAGACGGTACCACGGGTCGGCTGATTGCATCAGCTTTTTGGGAGGCACTGGATGTAGGTGGCCATCCGCAAAAAGAGGTTGGGGTTCTCACTCCGGCAATGACACCGCGCCTTCCACAGGGCGTGGACCACCATGAACAGTTCCAACAGGGCGATCTTGTGATTTCTGATCTCCCAAACCCCGTACACCCAAGGAGGAATGATAGCGACGAAGGCCTCCTGCGCACGCACCCCTGCTGGTTGCTCGCCACCACACGTGGCACTTGCAACGCTGCACCAGCCTGGCTGGAAGCGCCATACTCTCATGAAAGAAAGCACCCGCTGTTCGAGTCACTCTCGAACCCATTTTGGGTGCTCTTTATCGGTGTGCACCGCCAGCAGGCCGAAGTGCAAACCCAAGAAGGTCCCTGTGGCCGCTGACTCCTGACGCCAAAATGTGGTTGAGAACCCCGAAGCTCCACTGTGCTGAGGGGCCATGGGAAGCACGGTCAGTGATGTGGCTGTCGTCAACACCAGCTTGTTGCTGTCTCACGAAGAATCCGACTGGCCTCCTCTCGCAGGCGAAGCGCTGAAGTTCACTTTTCTCGCACGGGTGGCGTGCAAAAACCTTCTTCGCGGTGTCGCGCGGGCTCAAGCACGAAGGTGCCAGCGGACGGCTGCCATCCTGAGGGCGTTCCTGCCATCCGTCAAGCATGTCAGAATAGGAAACAGCTTCCGCTGGCTGATGAAGGAAAACGCCGCAGTGGGGAGCAAAGCCAAAAGCCGGCCGACCCTTGATAAAGCCATGTGGCAGGCATCAGTCTGAAAAGAGATGAGGTGCTGCGAAACCGGCGCCCATCGGCGCTTGAGCTCCTTCAGCGCCCGCTAAGCGGCCACGCCACTCTTCGAGCCGGTGCATCACCATGCCTGCAGCATACAGAGGTCGTCGTCGAACACGGCTAGCTTTCCAAGCCCAGCGCAAAGGCTCAGCGAAGTGCTCGTCAGGCGTGAGCCCGTAGCTGACCAGCGGCAAGCGCCGCGCTGCTTGCCCTCAGCCAGACAATGCGCCAATCCAGATAGTCGGTGCTCCTGGCCAAGAGGTCTCCCAGCATGGGCCACCGCCAGGATACAGCTTGCGGAAGGCAAGGATCACGTCCTCCTGCGGAAACCCAAAGCAAAATCAATCGCAGGGCTGCACTGTGTAGAACCCCTCGCAAGAAGGATCCACGGGACTGTCGCTGCCCAGTAACTCTGGGTGGGCAGGGCTGGGAATCTTGGGGAGTTGCATCAAAGACCATTCCAGCCAAAGCGTCCGCCTCGCAAACACCGTCTTGGTCGCAGTCACAGGCCAACCGCTTGCCTTGCAGGGAAAGCAGATTTGTCTGCAGTTTGGCGAGGACAAAGTAGACTCGTCGTTGGAGTGCGGGGAGTAGTGCCCTGACCGAGGTAGACCACATCGGCCGGGAGCTCGCCATCATGAAGCACGTCCGAGCTTGGCTTGCTCTTCCGGTTGTAACGGAGGAAGGCCAAAGATGCAGGGGCCGATGCCTCGCAAAGCTGGGCGTGGTGGCACTCGCCGGGGATGAAGGTGCTCGATCTCATACTGAGCCGCTGATGCCTGCGCCTGGCAGGCAGGGCTCCCCGACCATCCTCCGCGATGGCCTGCGGCTGGCCGGGGCTCCGGTTGCGTGCAGCGTTGTCCACGCTGGTTCTTCGCATCAAGGCCTGGGACCCTGCAGAGGACATCGGGCCTGTTTCGCAGCCCTGCACTTGGGCGGGCTTGCCAGCCTCGTACGTGGCCTGGATCACTCGCAAGGCGAAGGCGGTGGGCTCCTCTTTGGCCGGCGGCGCGTTGTCCCTCGCCTGGACCCCAGGGTATAGGCAAGCAAGAGCAGGCTCCCAACGCTGGCGCCCCACCTGCTCGTGTCCAAAGACCGTCGCCCAACTTGCGCTTCTTGCTTGAAGTGCTCAGCTGCCAGTGCAAGGTTTTCACCTTCCACACCGATGTCACGCACAGCAGCCGCTTGGACATCTTCCTCAAAGCCCTCGACACGGCTGCATTGCTGGGGCACGCCGCCGCACAAAACTGTCCTTGGCGGATCTGAGCTCCTTACATCCGAGGAGAGAATCAAGGTCCTCGATGGCCACTCAAGAGCGGTCCTGCTCCGCGGTCTTGAGTACAAGGATGCCAGGCCCGCCTGACTCGCGCCGCCTGAATCGACGCTTCTGCACCTAGTCTTTCGACTGTCGAAGCAAAACCGGAACTCTTCCAAGTTGGCGACGCCTGCCCTCTCAAGGCAGAAACTACTTCCTCTGCCAACTGGAAGTTCTTGCCGAGCCTTTCCAGGCATCCGGCACCATCAGATGGCACGAGAGATGCGGCCGTGGCCCCAGCTGCGAAAAGGGAAGCAAGGAACAAAAACAGGGAAGCCAGGAGAAAAAACCCACGAAAAGGTGCCTGGTTGAACCCTTCCTCAACCTGACAGGCGTCTGCAGAAGGGTACCTGCCACAGACAAAGCATGAAACGTGAATGCAACACTGCCTAACGGCTCTGCTCCCCACTTCAAACTTGAAGGATCTCAACCCCCGTTTTGACACACGGAAGAGTCGACCGGGTCGTCGCGCTGTGGCAGTGCAAAAGAGGGGTGGCTAAATGCCGGACAGCCAAATCTGGCGCCCGAGAACCAGCTGGCGCATGAGCCTGCCCGGTTGAGCGCCTTCTGACTCTGAAGAATGGCACCCCGTTTCCGTTGTAGCCGCACTTCAACGCGGCGAGCGCAGGCAGGACCCCTACTCCAGGCAAGAGGGTGCGGACGGAGGAGAAGTTGCGCGCCATGAGCCGGAGCTGCGGCAGGAGGCAGCTTGGCCGATGCTGTGAAGGAGATTCGCGCTAAGCTTGCCAAAGGGGTGAGCCACACTTTGGCGGCCGCTTCTGTCTGACCCGGTGTGCACCGGTTATTTGGCCACCCCGAGGACAGGGCCTCTCAGCGCAGCGGACAAGTTCGAAGCTAATGGCGTGGGAGCAGCGGTGGTGCCGTCTTCTCACCAGCGTCTGGCTCCAAGAACCTCCGCTTCAGGGCTGTGACGCGCCTGAGACCAGATCACTTCTGTGTCCACACAAGACGCCTGGGGCAGCCTTCACCTTTGCTTCATCGTCCGCCTCCAGAATTTCCTCCTCAGTCGGCAGCCTTTGCGGCGACCAAATCTTTGCGTGCGTGGCCAGGGCGTACTTGCCGGCTGTAGTCGCCACGCCCCCTTGTCCTGCCAGTCCTGCACAAAAACACTCCGTGTCTGTCAGGCGGATCAGGGAGTTCTCCAGCCACTTATCCGCCCAATGCCAACAGAACCTGGCTGGTGAATCCATGATGGTTATGCGCCTTGCCCTTGTTGTAGTGGGAGTGGAAGAACTGCTTGCTGATCTTCACCGGGCAGGAGGGGCACATGTGCTTATATAGCGCAGGCACCGCAGCCACCATCCAAGAAGCAAGGGCCGCCGTCCAGCATGTCCCTGGACTGCTGCAAGTTGATGATCTTCGCCTCCAGCGTGAGCAGCATGGGGTTCCCACAATAAGCGATTGGAATGGAATGCCCGTGCCGGGGACCTAGCCTTGTCGAGGAACGCCGGGTCCTGGATGCTCCTGTCGGAGAGGAACAGCTGAGCTCCTGAAAGGTCCGAACATTCAGCACCGTCACCGCCTCGGACTTCGTGACCTTCTCCTGCGCCAGTTTGCGAACTGCCTTGCTCCGCACGAAGGCGGTTAGGAATTTGACACGGCGACACTTGAAGGCCTGACGCCTGACTGGCTCCCCGCGGTGGAGCTGAGACTCTCCCTGACGCAGGCCTTGGCCCACCGCTCCAAACTCCATCAACAGAGACAGCCGCAAACTCACCGGATTCCACCCGACCCTCAGAAGCACTGGTGCCATCTTGAACCAACACGGTCCGGCGAAACCACACGCCAATAACTTGAAGCCACAGCACGTTCATCGCAGCGTGCGCACCGCTCATCAACACAGGGCGCAAACTGTAAGTGGGGTCTCTCCCCAATCGGCCAAAGGTAGGAACCAGAGCTTCCTGGCCTGGCCATGATGCCCTTGCCGAAGAAGGTCCTCCATGGCGCTTGAAGTCAAGGTACGCACCTGTGGAGAGGACAGGACGATCCGTATGCATTTGCAAAATCAACTCCTGGCACAGCAGACATTCGACAAGTACCCCTTGCCGAAAAACTAATCACCACAATTCCCCAAAAAACAATTTTGGATCATCCTTGAGCCAAAACCCCCGAATGATCCAATTCAATCCTTGACGAATGAAATCCTGCAAACCCTAGCCTTCCAAGACCTGATGCAGGGAGAGCAAACTTTCCAGGGCATATGGCTTTCAACACTAGGCCTGGTCACCAAGCATGCGCTCTTGGAACGCAATTGGGGCCGGCGGCATTAAGCGCAAGCCGGGGTCACCTACACGCCTGCGAGCCCCCTAATACTCAAGAACTGGGCAAGGGCAGGAAATTCTAAACTTCCAAGCTCGTCACCCTCTGCGGTGGCTTTGACAACGCCTTGGCGCAAGCCGAAAGAGGGAAAGAGCGAGTTCAACCTGCGTTGGCAACTCTAAAGGCAGGTGCGTGATGGCGGCCTCCTAGAACGAACTGGCCTCCAGAAAAGCTGCGTTTGCAGGCCAACCACAAACTTTCAATGGCCCAAGCCCGCGAGGCAGCTGCTCAATCTCGTCATCCTGGCAGGAGGCCCAACTTGCCCAAAGCAATGATGAGTCACGTAACTTCTGCCAGGCCAACTGAGGGTGCACCCTCCATGACGTCCTCTACGTCATCCATGGCATCTGCCTTCCTTTGATGCGCGCAGGCATGCGTGAAGCAAAACACAGCGGTTGACACAGGGATGCCGGACTGACGGTGGACGCTTCAACAACAGCCATTTTGTCGTGGTAACATGCAAGTCTTGCTTCGCGTTGTCTGCTTTAGGTCTAGGGGGAGGTGCTTGGACACAAATGCATGGGGCATCCGCTTCCGAGGGAACAACTTGTTTTGCGCCCTTTGTATCCTCAGCTGGGCACCGGGTGGCGTGCAGCGGGCTCCTGGTCCCAAGCAATGTGGAATGACAGGATGGCAATTTGGCAACGCAAGCAAACGCACACATTGCACATGAAGATATGAAGGAGGTCACGTGCAATCTGCGTCGCAAACTTGGCGGGCTGACGATGGGTTTTGCCGTGGCGCACACCTTCTGCCTCAGTCTGACCCCGACACAGGACTCACACTTCTCGCACTCAGCACTTGTTTTTGAGCCCTGGGCGCTTCCGGAGTTTCATCCAAAGACCGGCTGCAAGCATGACACGCCGAAGATGGAATGCCCGTCGGCGCTTCAGCATGCGAAGCCTGGACAAACACATCTGCCAGCCAAACTGCCCGTCATAGTCATTCGGCAATCGATTTGAGTGCGGATGCGCAACCGGCCTTCTAGCCATCCATCGCTCAGCTTCTCTTGAGGCACAGGTCGCAGCGGGATACCGCCATCACGCGCAAGCTGCTGAATCAAAAGTTGTAGCAACGAGCACAGGAGCCTGGAAGTGCATCATAGCAATGCCTCAAGACCATGGCGCGAAACAGTGTTGTCGATTTTCATGGAACCTGTCCGTGCGGCGACAAGTGCCACTGCTCCCGCGATAAGGAGCCTCGGAAAAAGGCGCTGGCAGGCTGGGCCCTCGCAGCCAAAGGAGAACAGAAGAACAGCAAGAAGGGTCTGATATGGTCCGCTGGTGATCGGTGAAGAGGGCGGTTCGAAGTGGACGGTGCGCGTTGCCGGAGGTCTTGCGGAGCTGAGGCCGCCTGGACAGCAGGCTTGATCGAGACCACTGAATCGTTCGCTCCCAATCGACTTGTGAAGGATGCAGCGGCACACTCGTGCAGAGGCTGGCGAGTTATTGGCTACATTTGTTCACCCGGTCGTGAAGGCAGACCCGACCCGGACGATTCGAGTGTGGACATTGAGGCTGAGGATGAATCAGGCCTTCATCAGAACCAAGAATGGTCTGTGTTGGCCACGCTTGCTCCTGATTGTAAGGGAGTCGTCCAATCGATACTGGACGTCACGGGAATTGTTTGTGGGGTTGCAGCGAACTGCTCTTGTTGAGAGACCAACCGCTGACTGACAGTGTTGGGCCAGCCGGGATCTTCGTCTCCGTGGGCTTCTCCTTGGTCCACATCTTCCGGTTTGAGTCTTTGCTGAAGGAACCAGAATCCTTGCTGAACACCAGAGGATGTTCGGCAGATTGACGTTCCTGTCTGTGAGTGCCCAGCAATCTTGATGTTGCGAGAGTTGTCCGGTGTGAATGCCAGGATGATCATCGCATCTGGGTCGTCAGATTAAGCCAGGAACAGTCCCTCCTGACAAAGTGGCAAGCCCGTTCGGCTGGAGATGGGTTGTCCTTAACGGCCTGGTCAGTAAAGTTAAGAAGTAGGAAGACGGTGACGCTTGCGGGCAGAGTTCGGGCCTGGTCAGCTGGAGTCCATGGATTACCACGGAGGCGGCCTTGGCGTGTTTACGACAGCCGTCAGGAACCCAGCCGGCCAAAATCTTTGCGAGCTGTGTGCAGTCTTTCCGGGTGAGGGGCTGGGGCTGGCGCTTTGGCGCTCAAGGTCTTTCAGACCGTGACTGCAGAAGCAGGCTTTCTGCCAAAGCCAAAATGAGAAGTATAGGGTGAGAAGCTGCGACTGCAACTCTCGAGGCTGGAGGAGCGAGTGAGCGGAGCCGAGGCGGACATTGGCCGCCCGTGGAATGGGATAGGGAGCCCTTTGGAGTATGGGGCTAGTTGCACGCTTCCCTGGCTGCGAATGCGGAGCTTCGCACGCACGTTTTATGACATGTTAACTAAGAACTGCGACGGACAGAGACTTTCAATCACACGCAAAAAGCGACGGTTGAGAACCGTGACAGACAGAAAACTTGAACAGTGTGGAACAAGCGACCAGTCAGAACTGTCGTGGACAGAGACTTTCAAAGACATGGAAAACGCGACGCGTACGGACAGAGAACGCCGCGTGTGCACGGTGGCTGTGGAACGGGCAAATCTTTGGTTAGGAAAAGCACCTCTCACAAGACATACATACACACATGCATACATACCTACGTAAACACATTCAAGCTCTCTGTCCGTCGCGATTCTCAACAGCCGCTTTGTCCAATGTTTGCCAAAGTCTGTGTCCGTCAGGGTTCTTACAGATCGCTTTTTCCACGTCGTTGAACTTCTCTGCGCCCCGATCCAAGCGGTCGCTTGTCCATGTCTTTCGAAGTCTGTTTCTGTCACGGTTCTTACTGATTGCTTTGTCTGGTCGTTTTTCCACGCAATTTGTCTGTCCGTCACGGTTGTCCGCGGTCGCTTCTTCCATGTCGTAAAAGGTCTCGGTTCGCAATGGTCACTCTTTCAATTAGATTGAAAGTCTCTGTCCATCCCGGCTCTTGCTGGTCGCGTGAACCACTTTCCCCTCAAAGGTTGCTTGTGTCTTTGGAAGTCTCTGCCCTTCACGGCTCTTATTGGTCGCTTTTCCCACGCAAAGATCTGTCCGCCACGATTCTCAACAATCGCGTTTTCCACTTCTTTGAAAGTCTCTGTCCGTGACGGTTCTTGCTGGTCGCTTCTTCCACATCGATAAAGTTCTCTGTCCGTCACGTTGCTCAACGGTCGCCTTTTCCATGTCTTTGAAAGTCTTGGTCGCATCACGGTTCTCACTTGTCGCGTTTTCCATGTCTTGGAAAGTCTCTGTCCGTCACGGTTCTTACTGGTCGCGTTTCCACGTTGTTAAAACTCTCTGTTCATTGCGGTTCTCAACGGTCGCCCTACCCCTGTGATTGAAAGTCTCTGTCCTCCCAACGGTTGCTTTTTCCATATTTCTGTCCGTCACGTTTTTACTCGTCGTTTTTGCGCGAAAGTCTCTGTCCGTCAGCCACATCGTTAAAGTTCTCTGTCCACAGCGGCTCTCAGCCGTCGCTTTTTCCATATCCCTGAAAGTTTCTGTCCGTCACGGTTCTGACTGGTCGGTTCTTCCACGTCTTAAAAGGTCACGGGTCGCAACGGTCGCTTTTTTCAATTCAACTGAAATCCCGGTTCTTACTGGTCGTGTTTTCCTCTCAAAGGTTGTTTTTCTGTGTCTTTGAGCGTCTCTGTCCGTAATGGATCTCAACGGTCGCGCAAGGTTCTTACTGGTCGCTTCTTCCACATCGTTAAACTTGTCCGCTTTTTTTAAAAGATCTCAACGGTCGCTTTTTCCTCTGAACGGCCGCTTTTTCCATGTCTTTGAAGATCTCGTCCGTCACGGTTCTTACTAGTCGCGTTTTCCACGTCGTTAAAGTTTTCTGTTCGCCACGGTTCTCAGCGGTCGCTTCTTGCATGTAATTGAAAGTCCCTGCGCGTCATGGTTCTTACTGGTCGTGTTTTTCACGGTGTTAAAGTTCTCAGCGGTCACTTTTTCCATGTCTTTGAAAGTCGCTGTCCGTCACGGTTCTTACTAGTCGCTTCGTCCACGTCATACGTTGAATTTCTCTGTCCGTCACGGCTCTCAACGATCGCTGCTTCAATGCATTTGAAAGTTTCTCACCACTCCGGTTCTTACTGGTCGCGTTTCCACGTCATTGAAGTTCTCAACGGTTGCTTTTTCCTCTCAATGGTTGCCTTTTCCATGTCTTGCATGTCTCTGTCCGTCACGGTTCTTACTGGTCGCTTTTTCCGCGTTGTTAAGATTCTTAACGGTCGCATTTTTGTCTCAACGGTTGTTTTTCCATGTCTTTGAAAGTCCGCTGCGCGGCGCGGTTCTTGCTGGTCTTTCTTTCACGCAAAGTTCTCCGTCCGTCACGCATGTCCTTGAAAGTCCCCGTCCGTCACTTACCTTTCGCTTCGTCCACGGTCTCTGTCCGTCACGGTTCTTCACGATAGCCTCTTCCATGTCTTCGAAGTCCGGCACGGTTCGCACTGCTCGCTATTTCCAAGTCTTTAAGGTTTTCCGTCTGTCACTGTCCTCAACAATCGCGTTTTCCATGTCTTTGAAAGTCTCTGTCCGTCAAGGTTCTTGCTGGTTGCTTTTCCACATCGTTAGAATTCTCTGTCCGTCACAGTTCGCAACGGTCCCTTGGTCCATGTGTTTGAAAGGCCCTGTCCATCCACGTTCTTACCGGTCGCGTTTTCCACGTCGCTGAAGTTTTTAGCGGTGGCTTTTTCCTGTCAACAGCCGCTTCTTCCATGTCTTTGAACCGTCACGGTTCTTACTGGTCGCGTTTTTGTCACGGCTCGTACTAGTCACATTTTTCACATCGTTGAAGCTCTCTGCTCGTCACGGTTCTCAACGGTCGCGTTTCCATGAATTGGAAAGTCTCTGTTCGCCACGGTTCTTACTAGTCCCGTTTTCCATGTCGTTAAAAGCTCTTTGTCCGTCACGGTTCTCAACGATTGTTGTTTCCATGTCTTTGGCAGCCTGTGTCCATCAGAGTTCTTCCTAGTCGCTTTGGCCACGTGGTTAATGTTCTCAACGGTCACGTTTTCCTCCCAACGGTCGCTTTTCTATGTCTTTAAAAGTCTGTGTCTATCCCGGCTTCCACGTTGTTGAAGTTCTCAACGGTCACCTTTTCCTCCGATATGGTTCTCAACGGTCGCTTTTTCAGTTCAATTGAAACTCTCTGCCCACCCCGGTTCTTACCGGTCTTTTTTCCACGTTTTTAAAGCTTCTTCCTGTCAACGGCCGCTGTTTCCATGTCTTTGGAAGTCTCTGTCCGTCACGGTTCTTACTGGTCGCTTTTCCCACGTCGTTGGCGTGTCTGACCGTCACGGTTCTCAACGGTTGCTTTTTCATGTCTTTGAAACTCTCTGTGCGTCACTTACTGGGCGCTTCGTCCAAGATCTCTGTCCGTCACGGTTCTCAACTGTCGTTTTTTTGTCACGGTTTTTGCTGGTCGCTTTTTCTACGTCGTTGAAGTAGTCTGTCCGTCATGGTTCTCAACGGTCGCTTTTTCATATCTTTGAAACTCTCCCTCCGTCACTTACTGGTCGCTTCGTCAAAGTTCTCTGTCCGTCATGGTTCTCAACGGTGGCTTCTTCCATTCATGTAATTGAAAGTCTCCATCAGTGACGGTTCTTACAGGTCGTTTTCTCCACGTTGCTAAAGTTCTCAGCTGACCGGTCGCTTTTTCCAACGGTGGCTTGCTTTTTCCACGCCGCTAAAGTTCGTTGTCCGTCACATGCAAGCACATCTGACTTTTGCAAGTCTTTACCGCTGTGTACTGTTCTGAGTTATGACCTGCCAAGTTTTGGAGGGGGCAACCGGACCGAATTAATAGGGGAGGGTTTCCTAACACTAAGTTAACATTGTTTTCTGACTTGAAATTTACATTTGGGCTAGTCTCATACTGTAACTCGTGGTGGGCCACCTGTTAAAATCCTTTTAGCGATTTCTGTAAGTTCTGTCGGCTTATGTAATTTCTTCATTTTTTTGGAGGGGGGATGCCTATACGATCTCAATCTGTTGCCCTTTTTTGATTTAAGGATCGCTGCGGCGTGTGCGCGGTGGCCTGCTCTGGGCCCCTGGGCTTGCGCTGACGTTCATTTCCTTCGCTCTCTCTTGGGTCGTGCTTTTGGCTGGCTTCCGCCGTTTTGGACGGCGTCCTTTCCTTTCGCGCTGGCTCCCCCTCCGGCTGCTCGTCGGTTGGCTTTCGGCTCCTGTGCAGTCTTCGCCCGCGGCCTCGCCCCACCCCCCCCCCCCGCTTTCGCTGCTGCCCCCATCGTTTCGGCGGCGGCGGGCGTCCTGCACATTAAATTGCACGGTAAAGTTTGCGCGAGAAACCTTACGCGAGACACTCATGTCCGGCGCGCGCCCCACCTTCAATCTTAGCGCTCTTGTTTTTTCCAGCGCTGAGAGCCCAAGGCCCTTCACCTCGTCCTTTGTCCTGCTCGGCTGACCGTGACTCTTGTTACTGGCAGCAATGCAAATAGCCCCAATCTTCTGCTCAAGCAAGCCACAAGCACAATCAGGGGATTTGGTTTTGTCTTTTGGGGAACCAAGCAAAACGAAGTTCGCAGCCAAACTTGAGCCTTTGCTGCTGCTGCTGCTGCTGCTCTCATCTCTCTTTGAGACGCACTGATCCTGGCGACGCCGCGCCAATCTCGCGCTTGGAGTCGTCACGTCTGACCTCAGGCTTGAAGGCGCGACTCGAGCGGTCAAGCCAAAAAGCTCAAGGCTTGCTGTTTGACACAACTGGACTTGGTCTCAGAATGGGGGGCCGCCAACATGCAAACAAGTTGGGCGGATATCCTCAAAGGTCTTCAAACATCTAACTATCCTTGCTCACTTAACACTTGGCACAAGCAACGTGGCAAGAGAAGCACGCCCTGGAAAATGCGCGGCGGTCAAACTGTTGACGCAGCAAGCTCACGACATGACTGGCCTTAGCACCTTGCCTGCACCTGGGCGCTCCTATCACGAAATTCACGCGTCTCAACATGATGTACTTAAACAATCACGGTCTCAGGAACCCCCATTCTCGGCAGTGTCGGCAGCCGTACACCGAGAGGATTGCCAGCACCATGGTGGCTGCATGTATTGCAGCCACCACCTGGCCATGGAAATGCCCACCCCCAGACTTTGGTGGACTGCTGCGTGCAAAGCGTCAGTCACCTCAACACGATTGCAAGGCCAGCCGCCAAGTCATACAAAAGCCCTCGCCCAGCTCAACATTTGCATCAAGAGGCCGGGTCTGATAACACAAGTGTGTTTGCCTGTGTTCATGGGTTTTCCATCGGGACGGCGGGAGTTTGGTCATTCTTGGTGGCTTGGATGGGCCTGGTGACAAAATGCTGCAGGTTACAAGGCGTTGTTGGCCTCTGAGGCTTGATCGACTTCGGTTGGTCTTTAAGCTTACCAAGATGGGTTTCGGGCTGGCGTGGCATGCTGCGAGTTATGAAATCGGCTTGTCATGTTTGCCGTGTCGTGGCGCCATCTGTTGCCATGGTATGCTTTCACCAGGCGTGTATGTTGGCAAGGTTACTTGTGACACATTTTGCTTGTTCATCCTGGTTCTTTGGCGAAAGCTTGACGCAGCCTATGCAGTTGAAGGAACCTCACGCAGAGAACAAAAGAGCTGTTGTTGCGCGCAGTCTTCTGAAAGGCATGGAGCCAAGATCCTAGAAACCAAGAATGGTGAGCTTATTGAGATGCAAAGTGAAAATGTCACTGGCAAGGAGCAAACCCAGGCTCAGCGAGACAAGCTCGTCGCAGCGTTTGTTGAAGTGTCCAAAAGTGACGCAGAGCTCAACTTCTACTTCAATGCCAACCTTGTGCGTTAATAGCTAGTTGGTCACGGTTGCGCTGGTTGCCTGGTGTCAAACACTGCTTTTTTCTGATCGACTCAGCGCAACCGTGTCCAGGAGTCCAATATGCCAATAGTGGAGGAACTGAGAATGGATGTTCCTGGTCCTGCGATCGGTGGTTTATTCCTGTAAGGCGCTCTGCTGCTCTCCTTTTGTAATGGCTGCAGAATGAATGCTGCGTGCCTATGATACAAGAGGGGCCTTGAGCCAAAATGACAATGGTTGTTCCAGGGTCAACATGCGAAGCAAAAGCAACACAAAACAGACACAATTTCTTTTGACCCTGAACACCAAAATGGCATTCTTTGCTTCATGGCGTTTAGCCGTAGCCATGGATGTGGTGTGCTTGCCGTAGCTATATTTAAATTCAATCATCCTGTTTCTGGCGCGGATGAACTGTCTTGTTTGCAAAATGGACAATGCTTTGTACTGGTTGGACGAGATACTTAACTGTATCTAAAACGGAAATGCGAAAAACACTTGAAACTCTTGATCATTCGCTGACATATTCTTGATGTGCAGGAGGACCAGTTGGAATTCGTAGTGTCAGTTCCGCGTGAATGCTCTCAGCGTGGATTGCAGTAATAGTATCTCATCGTTTCTGCGAGTACCCACGATAGCTGCTGTCGGATTGGCTTCCATAACCTCCGCCATAGGATTGGTCCCATGACTTCCATGCGGTCTCCTTTTCCTTCTTCTTGTTCTGAATGAACTCCTGATTTCTTTCCTGATCAGCTGCAAGGCTGCGGACATAGACCAGCAATGGGGTGTGAGAATCTGAGTCGCATTGTCCAAGCATTAGCATGTCATTGTTGATGTGCTTGTAGCGCTCGGCGGATGTGACCTTGTAGTCGGAGATGACCTTGTCTACATCTTCTAGCATGGAATCCATTGCCTCTTGATCGAGCTTGGCAATCTCGGATTGACGGAATTCTCGTTGGATGTCGGTCTTTCCCCAACTGAACACGAAGGTCATCATGCAATCTTCAAACGTCCGGTCATATCCTGAACCTGTCTTCATATGAAGATCGTGGCATGACGTAGACATAGAAAAATCCATTCGTTCCGCCAACGGCATGTCTTGTGTCTCATTCCAAAGATTCCTGAACTTCTCCATGATGTTGTTCATGAGGCCGTTGTCAGGATTGTAGACGGATTGCAGCTTGCTGAACGTGTTTGCGGATTTGTTGGCATCACCTGTGATCACATCGCATTGGTATTCCGTAACGAGCGGCGTGATACCTTTCTGCGCGTCTTCTTTTGCTGCACCGTGGCTGATGTTCGGATGGATATGGAACACTCCAGTGGTGGCAACTGGAAGATCAGCTTGGGTAGCATGGCGTGTGTCGTAGGATAGAACAGGATCCTTGGTGGATTTCGGAAGTGCTCCACGGATCTCACGGTGGCCGGTCTGCATTTTGATGCTTGGCATTGTCGGATTCCGTCTCTTTTGTCCAAGATGGCTGTGCCTTGATCTTCGGTGTCAGCCTCAGTGTTGGCGCTGGAGGCTGCATGGGCATTGCCTTCTGCCTTGGTCTTTCCTCGGGAGGTAGATCAGCGGGCTTCTTATCCTCATCGGTGTCGGAATCTCGGTCATAGTCTACCTGCTCCATCGGGATGTCTTCTTCTTCCGGAAGATCGGATTTCGGCTTCTTCTCCTCGTTGATCTCACCCATGACATAGTCGGATGCGATGATTCATCATCGTCATCACTCGGGATGGGTGAGTCCTTGAGAGGCAATGCTCGTCTCTTTCCAGCCGGCTTCGGAGTGGATGGCTTTGACTTGCTGCTTCCGAAAAGGCTTGCAAGGAGCGGCATGTCGTTGTCAATCAAATTGAACATACACGATCGCAAAAGGTCGAATGGGATGTAAACCAAACTGGCTGCGGATGCAGACACATATTTCTTGAGGTTCAAGAAAGGTCACATGCAAAATGCTCACCACGGCATGGAGGGATTGAAAATCACTAAAATGGAAAATTCATGCATTGAAATTCATGGACATGTGGATCATGCCCAGGTCCCCCAATAAGCAAACATGGATTCTGCTATACCAACTCCTGCAAATGCAGTTGGGCTTCGTGTTGTGCTAGCCATTCAACCAAAGATGCCTTGTTCTGCAACATGGTGCGGAAACATTCATGAGGTTGCCTGTCAATACTGCCTTGATAAGCTCATCTGCCTTCGCTGAGTGTTTGGTCAGCGAGTCCGCTAGACAGTCCTCGCTTCGCACATGTGCGAGATCGCGCATTTGTCCACTATTGCTCTCCTTTCGCAACATTTGGTCTGGTTGATGAGTTGTGGATGCTGTTGTAACAAGATTGTTAGCATCGGTGCGGATATGACCATCTGCGATTTCGCCTGTAATGTCTGACCAGAGTCCGTGAAGAAATAGGGCTGAACCGTAAGAACGCATCAGTTCGTTGTGGCGGTGATCTTGTGCGTCTCATAGTCGACCAGTGAGCCTCTCGAATTCGACGCGCTGGGATGACTTGTCTTCATTATTGCGATAGGAGGTATCTGGATAGCCACCATTCGGGTCTTTCCACGAAGGGGCCAGAATCTCATACTAAGCGGAATGCTTTGATGGTTCTGACTGTCTTGTTGATGGCGCGAACGTCCTCAATGGTTGGTGATGATGCCTTGGGTGCACACCTGGAGAATTGATAAGCAATGTGGAATTGTGTTCGCGATTGTAACCAGTTGATCTGACCTAAGACACCTCTGTAAGCAGTATGCATTTGAGGAGTGAGTGGTGTATCTTGTCAAAGGTGATCTCCTGAAGTTCGTCGATGGCAACGTTCTGGTGGACATTAATTAATGTACCAACCGTGCTTGTCGTCATGCTTCCATTGGATTCGTTGTCCTACGAAAAGGCAATCATTCTTGTCTTCTGAACCTACTTGAAAATCTTTACAAAGTCGTCCCATGATTTCTTTCTCAAACACGTCATCCCCGGTCATAAGATCATCTACATGAAGAGAAAGTGCTCCATGAACTTGTCGATTCTTGGCGTTGTTACCGGAAACGGGGTCCATGAGGTAATCAACTGCTCCTTCAGGATCGAATGTGTTGGATGGATGACTTCTTTTCACTGATCGGTGGGGATTTTTGGAAGCTGTTTTCCATAGTAAACATATGTACAACGATCTGATCGCGTTGGCACTAATCCGTATGAACGGAGTGCCGAATCTAGGATGTTCCACCATCTGCGTGGTGCATCATTCAACCCATAAGCAGGCATCTGACAAATAATGTCACGATTCTGATCGCATGCTTCGCCTTCAAGATGTGAAATATATTCCAGCCCTTGTTTGCGGCTGCTTGGATTCCTGGATGAAGCAGGACTGTCTGTCTGCTGATCGTTCTTCAGCTTATCTTGAAAGCCCCGGAGGACCCTTCGGGCTTTCGTCTTCAGGAAGTTCCCGTCTTTGTCTTGCTTCACGGTAAGAACCCAGCGACAGGTGACCCAATTCCTGACCTGAATCTTTCGTGCATCGACTAAGTCGAACACGTTGGAAGCACTTTGAAGCCAAATGGATTTCACACTGGAAGCAGCGATATGAGCTCTAGATGATTTGCCCGATACTTAGCATGTTGGCTGTTGCCCTGTTACACACCGTTGCATTTTGTATGCCGTTCCGACCTTCGCTCCGCGCGCTATGCCAGGCCCCGTCATGAGGTCAGATCCTCAAGAGGATTGCTCAGTCTCGTACTTCGGTACCTTGCTTTCGCATTTGCCATCAACTGCGTTCCGACTTGCTTTGTTCGTTTGCTTCCTTTGGGTCGCACCTTGTAGCTTCCAGATTTGCTTCCAGTTGAGATCACCCTGTTCTAGGGATATGGCTCCAGACGTTAGCTTCACACTTTTCACGGGTTTTTCACTCCTTTTCCAACATGTCGGGGCAACCTATGACGCGACTAAGGAGCGATGGCAATATCCGACCCCTACGGCAGGAGGGGGCCTGGGATTATGCGGCCCAAAGTGCTCCGGCCCCTACGCCCTCACCACAGTCTCAACCAGCACCCGCAGCTCGGAGTGCTGCGCCGGCCACGGCCGCTGCCCCGGCTACCGCTCCCGCTCCCGTTGCTGCCCAGGCACAGCTACCCTCCCCTGCAACTGTGGCGCCCACTGCGGCTGCGGCCGCGCCTCCGCTGTTGATGCTGCACCTGGCAAGGGGCCAGTGAACCCGGTCGACGGCAAGGATGCCATGCCGAAAAGCAAGGAAGGCAAGGGGGGCAAGGGGGGCAAGGACGGCAAAAAACCCTATAGAAAGGAAGGCAAGAGCTTCAAAGGCAAGGTGGGG